TGTCCTCAAAACCCGCCTGGACAAGGTCCGTTGCAACCTGCTCTAGGTGACCCTGCTTTAGCAGGGGGATTGGACTTAGATGATCCCCAGAGGTCCCTTCCAATCCCTACCATCCTGTGATTCTGTGACAAAGTAACGCAGAGGAGGATTTTGTGCTTCTACCTCTTCCTGCAGTGTCTATAGGTTTTCTTGTTTTTTTGTATACTTTTTAAACAAGGTGAGGTTTGAGCACAGTTATTGTCTTGGTCCTAAACCCGTGGTGGTGGGGTGAGGTGTCTGGGCTGTGGTTCCCGCCTGGAGATGGACATATCCACTTGGTGACCTCTGGTTTGACCACAACACCAAGAAGTCTGACAAGGGGGAGGCTTTAGGGCAGACCCTCAGCCCTGCTCAGTGGGTGATTTTGAGTGTCTGGGTTCCCGCATCTCTTCCCATGCCCTCTGTATAAACCTGGCACTGATCCCGCTCTTGGGGAGATGTACCAGGATGGCTCTCTAGGCTTGAACCTTCTCATCCTGGTCTTTGCTTGCTGCACAGGCTCGAGTGCATGATATCCAGAGAGTTGGAGGCTCCTCTGTTGACTTTGCTGAGCTTAGCTCACAGCCTAGTTGGTGATCTCCTTGGTATTTTTGTGAGGACTGAGAGTATCCTGTCTGGTTTGTGACACAGGATCCGTGGTGAGAACTCACTGCCTGGCGTTATTGATGCAGCTGAGTTGACTGCAGAGGGAGCTGTGACCACAGAGAAGAGCTACAGGTGTCCATCAGACTCCCGGAGTTTCCAGACTGAATTTCTCTTACTACAGCTGGGAGAGAGAAGGAAAGGAAAAACTTTAGCTTTGTTTTTAAAAAATTGTATATCTCTGGCTATGCATTTAGGCTTAAATTTCTTTTCAGACGAATAAACCCATCAAAGACCTCGCAGGTCATCTCAACTCAGCAGTTTTCCCACCTGATGAAAGACTCGTGCCCTCACCGCTTCCTACAACAACAGGCTGAGGATACTCCAGAGCCTGGGGAGGACTGAGCTTAGGCAAGCTCCCCTCGACTGTGCAAGGCCAGCTCAGCTGCCTCCTAGCAAAGCCAAGTAGTCTGAGCCCTCCCCCCCCAAAATGACCCAGGCACAGCCAGGTCCAGCAGGGCTTCTTGGCTCCTTCTCAGCAAAGCTGCATGCTCATGGGTGCAGGAACGTGCCTCTGGGAAAGTAAGGATCTACAAGCTCCTCCTCACAGGATACTTGAGCAAGGGCTGGAGTCCAAAGAGTGCTACATCAGTGCCTGTAAATGTGACCCCTTCCATGAGAGAGATCTACCTGGTAAGTGCTTTGTTGTTCCTGTTCCCACCCATCCCAGCCAGCAGAGATTCTGCACTCACTGGTTTCCAAAGCACATGTCCTAAAAGTGGAAATTCATGGCTAGAAATTCATCTCAGTCTCCAGCACTTGGCTTTCTGGGTAAAAACCAAAACCACAGCCTTAGGATTTGGTGTCATGGCAGTACAGTGCAGCTGATTCGGGCACATCAGGCAGGTGACTGCAGAGGGAGCTGCGGCCACAGGAGAGTGTCAAGGTCTTCTCAGCCTTCAGGTCCAAACTCCCTCTTCCATGAATTACCACCACAGCAGCAGGAAGGGGAGGAGGAGAGGAAAAGCAGGGATTAACCAAGTCACCCGCTGCCCTAAGCCTATTCTTTTTCCAGGAGAAAAACTGCCCAGCGTGCCGCAGCCCCATGCAGAACAAGTGCAGGAGCTCCAGTGCTGTTCCCAAACACACTGCCCAACCCTCAGGGATTTTTGCAGTCCCAAGGTATCAAGCTATTTCCACGTGAAAGAGGATTTGGTTTTGGGTTTTTTTTTGCTGTCCTGTGCAAGGCTTGTGAAAAAAAGGAATGGCCCTGCCAAGAGAAGGACCATGTTCAGCCTGTAGCCTCCACCTTTTTTGGTGTCAGAAGAGACTGCAGGAAAACTGACCCCAGTTTGTAATGAGGACGTGCTGCATTCAATCCACTCCTGGTCCTTGCAGCAAGAGCTGTACCTCCACCTTCCCTTCCGCAGCAAGTGCCTTGACCCACAGGCTCTGAAGTTGGCCCTGGGAGAGGGGAAAGACGAAGGACAGCAAACTCCAGCAGGACAAACCCCGCCTTTCATCAGTGTCTGCTTCACAGCACAGAGCTTGAGGGAAAAGTGAGGATGGACTGACTGCCACACCGATGGCACGAGCTAGTCTGAACCATGGTGGGGCTGAAGTCCACTGTGCAGGAGCGGTGAGGCTCTGTGGTGCCGTGGCAACAGGGGACATGTGCAAAGATGTCAAAAATCATCTTCTGAACTGTGCTGCGGGTCTGTTATGGATCCATATCCAGTTTCAATATTTATCTCCACTCAAATATCACTCAGTGTAGGCAGATGAGAGTATCAAGTGCACTGCTAAGGACAGTGTACATTGAATACAGAGCTTTTGAGCATGTCCCAACTTGAGAGGAATACAAAGCCTTTGCAACCTCTGTTTGCAGCTCCCAATTATTAAGCTAGCTTCGCTTTTCCTTCTCTCCCTGCTCCAGGATTTCCCCTCCAGGCTGCTTCTTTCCCAGCAGGGCGCTCAGAGGACGGGAGCCATCACGCTGTGTAACTTAGCAAACCACCCATGCCAGCACAGATGCGGTGCGTGACCGAGCGCGCCAGGCGCTGCGTTCTGCACACTTGTTGGCTGCGTCCCCGCAGCCAGCACTGCAGCTGCTGGCAGCTGCGTATGAGCAGAGTACAAGAAAGGGAGCACGTAGAAGCTTGCCTAAACTTTCCCCACCTACTTCCCAGCCTCTAGCAACAAGCCCTCCTGTTCCCAAACCTTCCTGTTCCTTCACTCCTGCCCCTCGCCCAGCCAGGGTGCTGAGCCCCACAACTTCTTGAGAGGCTCCTGGGAATGCACAGGCACCAGCACGTGCACAGGGGAGGTGAAGAGGAGCAAATGGCACCTGGGGACTGCCATCTCAACGGCGCACATGCTGTGGTTGAGCTCCACCCTGAGCACTGTGCAGACCTTGTAAGTGCTGGGTGGTGAGCTGAGCTCTTGGTGATGTCTACTTGCCATCAAAGTCAACATGGAAAAGCCAAACCCAACTGCTCAGCACTTCTCCCCACGTCTGGCTGCGGCCCC